GGCGTGTTTTTGCTTTGGTAAACTGTACATCTGGGTTTTTAAGCCGTGACAAAAGAAAAGGACTTTGGCCTGATCGTTACTCCTTTAGTAACCACAGATAGCGTCAGTATTTAATTTAATACATTTAACCAATACCTCCACCAAGGTTAGATGGTTTTATTCAAGTATAAACTGTTCAGTATGAGTGACTGGGTTTATATGTGCCAAACTTAAATACAGGGAAATTTAAATTGAGACAACTGAAAAAAAAATGCTTGGAAAATTGATCCATTAGGAGATGTTAATTATCCTATCACAAAATTTCACATATGGTTCAGTGTCGATCTAAACAGAGCTGTGTCCTTAAAAGGGCTGCTTTCTGGGGTATTTTCTACCCTGGTAATAGTACTGGTTCCCAGAAAACTACCTTTTAAGATAAGGTTATATGAAAGTTCAAATCAAAGTTATTATTTCATTTGGACATCAAAATTATTAACGATACTTGTACCAATAGCCACAGTACATAGTTTAAAAAAAAACAACTGGTTTATAGTCAGTCTGATAAAACAAAGCCAACTGGCATTTTCTACCTTCTGAGCATCCTCATGGTGAGCATAGTTGACAAACCCAAACCCTCTTGATTGGCCCTTCTCGTCCTTCATCACTCGCACACTGAGGGTCCTCCCTGAAGGTAAATGGGTTAAAGATCTACCAATAATAAAACACATTGCTCTGGCAGATCCAGTCATCAAGAAGAATCTGAATTTCCTTACCAAAAGCAGAAAAAACCTCCTTCAGTTTCTCATCAGTGAAGTCCTCTCCAAAGTTCTTGATGTAGACATTGGTAAACTTCATAGCTTTGGAGCCAAACTCAACTTCCCTTTCCTTGCGAGACTTGAAGTGGCCAACAAACCTGGAGACAAAGCCAAGAAACCCAACCAGACAACAAATTAAATATGACAAAAATATGTCAGATTTACATTTACAACATTTTTAATCATGCTGAGGTTGGATTATGGTTCAGTATTGACATTTTGTGGCATCTAGACCAACTTGTATTAGATTCAATTCAAAACATAATCCAAAGATTTTAAAATGTGGATTGGATTATTTACATTGAATACAGATTGTTTAATAAATTTGATAACTTTGTTTATAAAATCTTGAAATAAAACTGTCAATGATTTTGTTTGTTTTGTTTTTTAACAACTTTTAAATCTTAAAATTAAGCATGATTTCTGGATACCCAATTTCCACACTTTTCCCACAAACTTCAGCATACTTTACTATATTATTTTTAGGTGACAAATCAACAATGCATAATTGTGAAGTGGAAGAAAAATAATGAATGGTTAAAAAGTACCATTACTTGTATTCAGGCATCTTCAATACCCCTAAATAAAAGCTAGTGCAAGTGCGATGCCTTGTCATGTGCGATAAAATTGTTAGACATAAAATGCATAAAAGACACAGAAATCTGCTAAATACTTGTGATTCAATTTATTATTAAATTAAAGTGAAAGAAAAAAAAAGACAGGTTAATGAAAAAAATACAATCTGCTACAGCTAAAAAAAAATTCCATTTTATGATTTGTCTGTGAAAATCATGCAAATAAATATTTTTAAAAATCGTTGTCTGCATCAATCACCTATGTTGGCAGACTTATTTTGTGCCATTTGTGAACACTGGTCAGGGCCATACAGAACCGTACTTTGGACATCCCTGTCTTGCAGTCTGACTCACCACTAGTGATAATTGCAGCACAAGGTGTTTGAACACTGCATTTACTGAAGAGAGTAGATTTTAATTTAGAAGAATTTTAAAAAGTATTCATCACTTTCCTTCCACCTCTTAGTTACCCACTAGTTTGTGTTTAGGTCTCGCATAAAATCCCAATAAAATACAAGGATTTTGGTTGTAATGGCAAAATGTAACAAACAATATCTCACTACAACACTTAATACTTCAGCTTCAGAATTAATATGGTTTAATTAAAGTTTGTGCATCAGTTTTACCTTCATGACTAATTAAAATACAAACATGAACAACAAACCTAGACAAAGATCCTACCTATTTGCTGACCTAAGCTGGGAGAACTGACATTTTTCCCACAGGAAACGGTCCTTTGGGTTGACAATACCAGATTCCTTTTTACCCATCTTTTGACTGAGCAAACAACAACAACAAAAAGACACATGGAGAAGTCATCTGCAAAAAGTCTTTCTTTAAAAAAGCAGCACAATTAAAATCTGCTCACTTCTTTGCCTGGCCTCAGGTTTAGACAAAGGGCTCATGTGACTAATCTAGTCACACATATGACAAAGTCTTTGGAGAACAATCACCTTTTTCTCCTTGATTGCACTGGTGCGCCTAACTTTTTGCATTTCTGTTAAACTGTCTTCCATGCTCTCATTCAAGGTAAAACACCACCAATCAAAACGTCCCTTAGATATGACACTTTCTACTCGTACAGTAAGGTGATTATTTGTCTCTCCAGCCACAGGTGAATTTGAACCTCATCTCTATGCGTATTAATTCAACCTAACCATACGACATCATCCAATGACAGATTTTCACTAAGTGAATTATGGATGAGAAGTGAATAGAATCCCAACTACTCTATATCTACAACTTATATTTCTTTAATGCACCATGGATGGTATTGAAATACATATTGTATTGACTACAAGGGAAAAGCACCCAACGTTAGAGGATTGCTCTGGCGTTGGTAGCGCTATGCATCTTCTTTAGACCACAAAAGGTACACATTGTGACCTTTTTAGGTCACAATGTGAACATTTTGGCAACTCTGTATAGCCCAGCTTACGGGCCTCAGACACACACACATAAAAAAAAAAGACTGCCAAAATGATGTACAACAACCAGCCTGGCTGGTAACAGCATCTCAAAAGGCACTCAAATCATTCCTGAAGCAGCACCACTAGAAAGAGAGAGGACAGAAACTGTGAGAACTTAGGTGCACTTCAGTATTGTTGTGGTGCAGCTCACTGAAAAAGAAAGTTAAGTGCCACCAGTGCAACAAGTGAGTCTATAGCCCTCAGATGGACTTATTTGCAAAAAGCAGTTTCAGTGAAAGTTTACTCACACTTTCCTGTCATTCAGAAGCATCCCATTCATTGTTTCAATGGCCCGATTTGCAGCCTCCTGAGTCTCAAAGTGAACAAAGCCATAGCCTTTTGATCCCTTCTCATCACAGACAACCTACAAAAATCCAGATAGTTTGAGTCATGCTAACAAAAGAAAATTTATACAACAATTTTCAAAGAAAAAAAAAAAAAAAGGCCTACCTTGCAGGATAAAATATTGCCAAAGGCAGAGAAGGTATCATACAGCGCCTTGTTGTCAATGGACTCATCCATGTTCTTGATAAAGATGTTTCCCACACCGGACTTCCTGAGACCTGGGTCACGCTGAGACCACATTATCCGAATGGGTCGACCCTTAATGACGTCATAGTTCATCGTATCTAAGGCACACTCCGCTAAAAATAATTTTAAAAAAATTAAAACATGAAGGAAGAAGCATCAAAAATAAGCCACAACTACACATCAAATGCAATACTGTACTCTCTAGCAAAGGTTTTCTAATCTACAGTCTGTCTTTGCTCAGTTTAACAAAATAATTAAGGGCATCCATGTATTAAAGCATAAAAACAAGATTTCTGATGAATATTCATATTTTCTTTAAGTTATTATACATCCAGGGGATTTTGAATCAACATCCAGCTGTGTTTATTCACATTTCTGTAGATATGGATTAGCAAGTCCATCACCCTGCAACTTTTAGATGCATCATTTCTTAAATGAATGCCTCATTATCATGCCTATGCAGCACTGATGATATGCTGATGAAGGAATTTGGCTATAAATAGCTAAAGCAGGTAAATCTCATAAAATACAGAAACAGCAATATGAAAAATAGTATAAATATAACTTCTTTGCTAAAATATTTAATTGTGCCACTGTTTTGCAACAATAAAGGTGGATGTACCGTCAGCTGGCTGCTGGAAGTTTATATAGGCGTATCCTAGGGATCTGCGGGTGATGATGTCCCGGCACACGCGGATCGACATGATGGGTCCAGCAGGAGAAAACTTCTGATACAGCATGGCTTCTGTAACATCAGGGTGCAGGTCCCCGACATACAAAGAGGCCAGAGGATACGCTGGACCACTGCCATTCATGTTGCGTACCAGCTGGATGAAAAATTAGTAGGGGGTTATAGAGAGTAGAACGCATTGCTAGTTTACTTTAGGGAAACTATTGCATGTTTTACTTCTACTTCAGTATTTCGTAACCTTACACTCAGTGACATTTTCACACCTGCCATTTCTAAATTAGGTTTGTTCAAACATTTGAGTGGTTCCAAATAGAGATTATCTTAGCAAAAGGAAAACTAATTTCATCTAATGTAAATTATGAAAACTGGGAGTTGTGCTTCGCTTAGAAGACAAATATAGTACAGGTGGACCTCAAGCTGGAGCGTCTCCATAAATGTCAATTTTGGTCATTTGAAACAATAAGAGATGCTCACACTGAAGATGCATTCATCATTACATTTCACACATTTATTTCTGCTAATTTGGGCCATTAAGGAAGAGCTGCAGTCTTGACAGGAATGTGAAGAAAACCTTATTTAACTTTTTTAAGTAGAAGCACTTAAAAAGTTAAATAAGGTGAACACCTTGATTAGTCAGTGCTTCGGGAGGAAACATCTCACAGATGTGTTCAGGACGTGGGGAACAACTGTTATATTTCTTATATTAAGCCACTCCTAAATCTCAAGATGTCAGAGGGGGGAAAAAGGATGTGAATGTTGCTCGGTTGTCTAAAGTCTGCTTTTGAGATAAAAATAAGTTTTGCATTGCACTTGGAAGTTAAGGCCCAGGAAACTAGAGGAAGAGCAAAAAAGCACAGAACCCAAGTTTTGCTTAAACTTGTCTAGTTTAAAAAGTTTCCACACTGAGTGGAAACTTTAAACAAGCATGTTTAGTTTAAAGTCTGTGTGAAGACTTTAAACATGACACTGGTTTATGCAGCAACAGTGGCTGCTTGTGTGAAGCCACTGTTTTTTCTAAAGTCCAAACTCGGCAAAGATTTCTACCACAAGATCTTACATCACCTCATACTTTCCATCGAAGATTACCTTTATGGAGATGCTAGACGTGGCATCTGCACACACTGTCAAACACACCAATATCAGGTTTATTAAATATATCACTGTAGTTGATTAATAAGCAAAATGGTCTTACCCAATAACTCATAGTTTACTTAATTGTTTTTGTTTAATGAATGAGATATTTCTAAAACTTATATTACCACAATGTGTAGATGTTTTAATTTGCTACATTTTTAAAATATAGAACTAATACATATTTTAAAACAATGAGACAAATTTCCGACCATACCATCCACTGAAAACATGTCAGAGCAGCAACTTTAAGAACATGCCTTGAATAGCATAATATTATTATGGATTAAGACAAATATTATGCCAATTCAGAATACAGACTGTTTTTCATCTAGTAGTGGATATTTCATACCAACCATGTATTCATTCTAGGGATGCACCAGTAAATTAGCCCCAATTTTCTTAATTTTGGTAGATTGGTGGATACATGTAAAGACAATCTTATCAACCACTGTCCTTTTTTGCTCTGCTGTGAGAGAGGTTTGTCTGACAGACCTACTCACCAGTTCATGTCTGCACGTTTGACAATGGTCACCCCACTGTTGCCAGCTCAGTTAATTTCTTGCTATATTTAGCAACATTTCAAACACTAAAAATTTAGGAATTGGCGGCCAGGCTTCTTAAAAATCAATAGACCAAAAAACTGCAATCGGTGCACCTACAGCGACCGATCTCCTCCTGAATCCATTCTGCTGCATTGATGTAGTAATTCATGCAGGACCAGATAGTTAGTGCATATAGCAGCACAGACACATCCTTTCAAAGAGCCAACATTTCGGTATTGATATCCTTTGTTCAATTTGGCTTATGATTCCTAAATATAAAGTTTTTATTGTGAGCCTTAATCAAAATAAAACTATGTCTCTGTGTTAAGTGGAAGCTTAAAACAGAGTAATCTAGATCTATAAACTTTTTTTTTTTTTTACTGAATTGCTGGAACAAATTAACTTGACTATATTCTCACTTATGTAGACACCTCGGTATAAATTAAATCTAAAGCGAATTCACAAAGATTTGTTGAATGGAGCCTTTTTTCCCCACTCAAAATTAGAAACGTTTTGGTAACATTAGGAGGATTTCACATTAAAACGTAGAGCGCTAAAGAAGCAATCTGATACTCCGTAGTAGTTAAACAGTGGAAAGAAGATTTCCAGCTTAAATGTTGATAAAACTATTCTCTTAACATAAAAACGGGGAAGAAAAGACATTTAAAAATTTTATGATGTAGCTAACGGTACAAGCAACAATCATAGAAAAAACATTAAGCTAAAACAGTCGTTAGCTAAATTTCGTTACCCCGCGTGCGCATCACGCACTGAAAGAAACTAGCAAGGTTCTACAAATAAATACAGCTTAACGTTACAAACTAGATAAACTTACATTTAAAACGAGGATGTCTTTTTATTCAGCGCAGCAGTTTGTGAACACTTTCCACGTGAACCTCAGCTTGTTTTGATTTAATTAGCATCTCCGAACACCTGCACGCTTGCTCCGCGCAATGTAATTTCAATTAAGACGTGAGAAGGCACCGACAGAAAGGACGTCACATTCCGCGATAAAAACTAGATCTTAGCTTAGTAATAAAAATACATGCAGTTGAACGAGTCCATATATTTAAAGCCACGTTTGATACATTTAAAAAAATTAACAGGACTTTGTGAACAGAAATAAAGACGTAATTTGCCTCTTATCTTAAACGAAACTTTATTTCACTGAATGGTCTTTGACACTTTCCTATTTCTTACATGTATAGTGAAACTAGAATGGTTTTAAGATACATAAACACAAAGCTAGAATTACACCAACCATTGTTTATCTCCATTTCATCACTGCTTTTTTAATAGCTATTCTAAATTTTCACAACCACGTGTGTGCACTGGGTAATAGACTGTTACAGAAGCAAATTTTAGCCATAAGACTTGTCAGTAAAAACAAAGCAAGTAAATACCTGATATACAGACAGGCTTCGTTCCACATTCACTAACTGCATTTTCATCAAGCAAAATAATGAACTGACATAATTTTTTTATTTTTTTTTTCCCCCCAACAAAAGATTTCAATTTATTGGAGCATTGTCAGAGTAAACAGACCGCCAGCTATAACGTGGAATGGTGTCTTCAACTACAGTAATGTGGAATGTAGTGGTGATACATGGTATTGTGACACTGAGCTTCTTTTCACCTTCTAAAACCTGATTTTTAGAGGCAATTATTCCCACCAGCTATCTTTAACAGCCGAGAGATTCACCTGGGTAAAAACTGAGGTCAGGGTTTATATTTTTGTGGTCTAACTCGTTCTATGAGATTTTAAACAAGCAGATGCTGCTACCTTAAAAGGAAAAAAAATGCAGGAGGCTGCAAGAGAAAGCCAGGCACAAAAGCTTTTTTGGAGAAAACAACCGCTTTAAGAGGAATATTTTGCAAGCAGGGTTGATACAGTGTGGCAAGACATTTTCAATTAACATCAATAAAAGGTTACTTTAGGTTTTACATACAGATGATAGTCAATCTTGCAAAATACATGGAACCACATTTACGCATACAATTTTCATTGTACTGAGATCAAGCAGCACCAGAACAGTGAGAAAACTACAATGACAATCTATACTTAGTTCAAAAAACAATAAGGAGCACTGCTGTTTTCAAGATGCCTAATAATGTGGAATGTCTTATGTCTGAACAAACCTATTATGACAATTTACGGGGTCCCTTAGAACTTGAAAACTGAATTTGTGAACATGATCAAGGAATATTACACCAAGATGTCAGTGTCACAATACAGCCTGCCTCCTTTCTGTATGAGCCCACAGCAGAATTGCAGTTAACTGAATATAGGATCGTACGTGTCTGGAACAAAAACAAAAGAAAAATAAAAAAAATAAAAAAAATATTTTGACGGTTGTGAAGCAAATGGAAAGCCTACCATCACAGTGTTTGGTGGAAATCAACTGCCAGTTTAATTACCATACAATAAAACCTGTAAATATCATGAGGAATCACAAATAAGAAAAGTAACAAAAAAAAAAAGGGATGAAAAATGCACACCAAACTAGCTGGGACAAAGGAAGTTGGAAGGACGATTCGAATTCACAACACCCCCCTCCCCCCCAGAAACACACACGCGCGCAATCATTTCACACTCGCTCGCACTTTCACGCTCACTACATACAGACCTACACACGAAGCTGACAAAAACAACAGCAACATGGACTCACTAATCAATACAACATGTTTCCACAAAGTGACTGAATCTGCTAACAACTGAAAATTACCCTGTCACCTCACAGTGAACTGAGAGGGGTAAACTAGTTGGTCAGGAGCAATTCAGGCTGCTTGTCATACAGAAGTGGGAGGGGCTGATGGAGTGGAGGGGGGGATGTATATAAGCTGTCTGTGTTTAAGATAAGAGTGTAGGTGGATTAACAGTGCAATTCCATTAGTTTTCCCCATCTCCGGTCTCTCCCTCATCTGCCTGGTTTTCTGATGTCCACAGCTGAGGAAAGAAAGCAAGAGAAAAGTTATAGTAATATTTGTCAGGAAAGACATCAAGATCACACAGGATATCCCAAATATGGAACTCACAGTCAGGTTGTCCCTTAGTAGTTGCATGATCAGGGTGCTGTCTTTGTAAGAGTCCTCGTTCAAAGTGTCGAGTTCAGCAATTGCTTCATCAAATGCCTGATAGAACAAAAAAATTAAAAAATCCACAAAAACAAAACTTAGACTTCCACAAATAGCTGGTCTAAATTCCTCTGATTTATATACCATCTCCAAAATGTAAAATTTAAAACTGATCGTCAATCAGTTTGCCATAGTCTTACATAAAATAAAAGACTAGAAGTAGATTGTTATTAGGGTTTGGCACATACCGTCTTAGCCAGGCTACAGGCCTTGTCCGGGTTGTTGAGGATTTCATAATAGAAGACTGAGAAGTTGAGGGCCAGGCCAAGCCTAATGGGGTGTGTTGGCTGCATCTCCCCCTTGCTAATGTCAAAAGCTTGCTGGTACGCCTGCTGGGAGTTATCCACTGTATCTGTATTAGCAGAAAAAAAAATGAAATTGTCGATTATTCACAAACTTTTAAAGTAGACCTGAGAGCAGCAAAAAAAAGCAAAGAAACTAATATGCTGTCTAAGCACAATACTTTAAAAAGTTTACATAAAAAACATCTCAAACGCTAATGTAGTATGCAACTCAAGTTATGAGACGTTTTGTGTTTTCCTTTGATTTCTGTTAAGGAAATATTACCAAAGTAAAAAAGTGACTGAATTTTGAAGCAGAAAAGATTCTGTTAAAAGAAATGTTCCAGTTTGACAAAAAATGCAATTGTTTTGTTGAAACAGACTTTTGAGAATCAGGATTTTCATGAGTGTTTTAATCATCTTTCAAATCCCTATTTTTCAAGTCAGGTTAAACATTCTTACACATAGCAATGTTGAAATAATATAATTACCCTTCTTAGACTCCCCAGATGCAACCTCAGAAAGGTATCTATAATAGTCGCCTTTCATCTTCAGGTAGAACACCTTGCTCTCAGCAGCAGATGCGTTGGCAATGAGATAGTTGTCCAGTAGCCCCTGAAAACAATACATGAGATAACCAGTTTAGAAACATCCCCTTGAACACAAGAAAGGGCACAGTTCTCACAATTAAACGCTTACAAGCACATCATGGCAGATTTCTTGCAGTTCAGCTTCTATCTTCTCCCGGTATTCACGTGCCATCTGCTGTTTTTTGTCATTGCCCTCAGTCTTCTGCTCGATGCTGGAAATTACACGCCAGGACGAACGACGTGCCCCAACCACATTCTTGTAGGCCACAGAGAGAAGGTTACGCTCCTCATTCGACAGCTCTGCGCCTTGCTCTGTCACTGACTTCATGGCTGCAGCCATGTCATCGTAGCGCTCAGCCTGCTCAGCAAGCTTGGCCTTCTGTACCAGGTCGTTCTTATCCATTTTCTAGACTGGAAAAAAAGAAGAGGTAATGTCAAGAGCTAGATATGGGAACAGTACACATGGGTAATCATATTTTAAGGTGGACAGTTCACATTTCTATGGAATAATTATAACTTTCTGTTGAAATTAAAACAATTTGCTAACTCTATAATTGTAGAAATCATTATGTTATACAGAAATGATGTATAAGTTTGAACTGGGCCCCCTGGCAACTGGGTCAGCCATACACATCACTAGCTAAGGTTTAGCTGTTAGCTCGTTCGTAGCGCTCCCCAAACTTGACTCTTCTCTTACATCCCTAACCTGATGTCTGCTCACTCGTCAACATGCACAAGTGTAAGGTGCTTATATTTAACACTCGTGACTGTTTTATTGGGCCAATATATTTCAAATTAATCCCCCAATCTACAAAACCAACCGAAGCTTTCCCGAGTCAGCCTTTAATGCCCTCCCCTGAGGTTGCTAGTAGCGCTAGCGGGCTGCCGTATTTAATGGCCCAATATTAACACTATTTTGACAAATACGCCAGAAGTGGTTTAAGTTTTCTATTAGATTACATTTAAGGGTGTGTCCTTAATTGACTAGAGAACGCGCAGAGAGCTAATCTGTCGTGATAACGCAAAGCGAATGGAGAAGCTAACAGTTGGCTAGCTACCGTCGCCTGGCTGCCGCTGCCTTTCGCTAGGCCAGTGGAGAAAATTTCCACGGCCACGTTAAATTATTTAAAACAAGAACGGGACAGCAATGATTCTTCTTGTGGAACTGTTAAACCAGACGAGAACAAATCGTGGCAATTCGGTGAGCTGCGTGAACGTTTTAACGTATTTTCCCCAGCTGTAAGACTCGGCCCGCCCAGGCTGCCGAGCCTGTCAGAACAAAGTGTCATGGAATCCGACCGTCGGTTAGCAGCTAGCCTAGCCTCTCGGTTATGATGGCTTCTCAACAGGATCCAGCCGCACACGATGAAAAACAGCTCTTCTCCCGCCGAATTACCAATGAAAAGGTAGTGCTATCGTGCGATTTTCAGACGCGCTAGGTAATTACACTTACAAAATTGGTGACTTTTTATCCTGCTTTTTTTGTCGTTTTTTTCACTCTCTGGACGATTCAGCCTCCGTCCTCCGTCTCGCTCAGCGTTCAGGGCAGTACCACTTCCGCTACACTGGCACTTCTGTTTCCTCCTTTCTCACCACACATCTGCCTTACGTAATGCAGGCGCCGCTTTTCTGCCGAAGATAAAACATCGTTTACGAAGACTAAGTTAACTTATTTCCGTTTCAAAACGAGTAAATTAGCCTGTATGTATGTTTTTAATGTTTTCATACTTCTTATATAATCTGTAATAGATCTTCTAGGCCTCGTACTGAGATAGAACTGATTTCTAACTTCAGAGTGTGATTGCAAAATTTCTCTAAGCATGAAAGTTTGTTCAAATCCACATAATTAAAGTCTGTATGTTATTAAATTAGACTCTTCTCTCTTCTCCTAAAGCGTCACCATAGCGAACATATCATGTGACTCTATTTAGTACTGTCTTCTGCATCCTCTATCCAAGGTGTCCAACCTGCTCTAAAGCCGCAGATGGCTTTTTGGGCACCATACAATGGCTCTTAACTTTAGCTAAAAATGATAAAGAGTCAAGTTAATGCTTTTAAATATAGATATAATAACAAATGCGGCTTTTTGCAGATTTTCAGGTTTTTCCTTGAATAATTTAATTGAAATTTCATGACATATTGGCACTAAAAGTACCAATATTTTTACTTTTGTTCCAATTTTCTTGCCATAAAGTTGAAAGCAATGTGCTCTTTCATAAATATCAAGATCCCATGGAAGAAGAAGTATCCATCCTGTTTTTGCAAAACATAAAAATAGAAATAAAATGGTGGTATGCATATCATTCATGATAAACAGCAGTTTCAAATACTTCCTACAGAGTAAGTACCTAGTTAAGCTATGAACCTAATTTGATGTTA